ACAATCAGGTAATTTGAGGAAGGCAGGAGTGTTGACAATTGGGGAAATACAAGAATTTTTCACAGAGGATCTGGAACTTGAGCTGAACCTTGAGGGAAGCTAAAGATTCTGAATGTTGGAGATAAATAGGAAGTATATTTGACGCATGACTAGATTTTTTATTTAAAAAAATACATATATATGTATATATAGTTATTCTGAACTTGATAAACACCAACAAATATGAGAACTCCCATATATAAAGAAGAACAGAAAAAGAAGATTGCATGTGAAATCAAATATTAGGCACAGCTTTATTTTAGTAATTTCTGAACACAGTCGATGTTAACAGAACACTGTCATTATTACTCCTAGAAATAATAAGTATTTGATTACCTGCAGTGTTCCATTGCATAATTCAAAACACATGGGCTGTGCCTTCACATCGCTTGCATATTGGGTCACTGACTTAAGAGGAGCATGTGTCCATTTATAGCATTACTGTTGTTATATAATTGTTATCCTCATAAATATTGCCACATGTTTTCTTTTTCTTAATTTTTTTAGATTACTTTAACAGAGTGAGAAAATACACATAACCTTAGCCAGCATCTGCTAAGTGCTTCAAAAACTGTGTGCCACAAACATCCAGATCATTAGTATCGATTAATTCTTATGTTTTAGAAACCTGAATTTCTTTGAGTCCATGAAGATGTATATCCTCTGAACAGTGGGTACAGATAGCTATTGAGACAGCACTCCCTAGGAAGACAAAATAGAAGCACTAAAATGAGTAGACACTTTGTTTAGGGTTCCATCATATCAGGGAATCATCCCATTCTTGAACTGCATACATTGAAGTTTCTATCTGTTGAATGTACCCAAGTATCTGTGTCACACTCACATATTTATCTTTGTTAGTGAATGTGTCTAAAATATGGCTAATGTCTCCTTTATCCAGAGAGGTGTGACTTAGGTTTGCATTAGAAGAGCAAATAGAACTTGTATATTAGTATAATTAGTGGCCCTAATTAGTGCTTTCAGCATATGGGAACTAAGGCCAGATAAGAAGCAAGCCCTCTCTCTCTCTCTCTCTCTCTCTCTCTCTCTCTCTCTCTCTCTCTCTCTCTCTCTCTCT